ACACACACACACACACACACAGTAGGGAAGGGAAAATGATACCTATTTAACTGGAACTTTGCCCGCAGCAAGAATTTTAACTCACCAAACTCATTGAATTGCTTAATTGTGCTGTAATTTTTTTGATACCTGAGAATTCTGTTGACAACAGACACATTGAGCATCCTGAAAATGAAATGCAGAAGCCTTATTTACAAGTGGTTAATGATATATTAACCTTCTAATAGAACTCAACAGTGTGGTTCTGAATATAGATTTAGATTATCAGCCATCAACCATCTAAGGTAGACTTATCTCAAGCAAGGAGAATTTGAAGCATTGTGACCTTGTCGCCACAAGTCCATATGATATCAACTGTATTTTAAGAAAATTTTTGTTTCATTCGCAATCTCAGGGAGAGGTACTTCACTACCCACAATCCTGTGTAGTAGTGACGTCTCTGATTGTTGGAGGTTGTTCATTACCATGGAAATGTTAACACACAACTGAATATCTATGAAATGAATCAATGCTATTTACATACATATGAGATACAAACTCGTTTTACAATATTTTTCTTAACTCTGAATCAAATGTTTTATGGTCATGATTCATCTCGTAGTTGGAAGGCCAGGCTCCAGGCTCAAAACTCTCGATTGTCACTCTCCGTTCTTGTTATATGTATCGACAAATGATGATCATTTTTAATTTCTGCTCAGCCCCATGTTTTTAAAGTGTTGTTCTACTGATGTGCTTCAACATCAGGTCCTGAATTCTGTCCCTGTAGCATCTCACCCCTTCCCTGCATATCAATGGTCTGCTGGTGTGCGGTGGATTTGACGGCATTTGACAGATACCAGGCCTGTCACTGATTGCAGGTTCAGAGCTATAACCAAGAATGACCAGACAGGTTAAGTGCTTCCTATCAGCAGCAGCTTTATCAAGGGGAGTGCTCAGATGTTTTAAACTAGCAGCCATGTGGAAGCAGGAACTTTGGCTTTGCGTCCTCAAAGCCTCTGCATCAGAAGTCTCCACCAAGTGTTAAATCACACTTTGTCCCATGCTACATATCAGGCAGTTCCCCTCCAGACACCTTTTGAACCGTGTACCAGTTCTTTGCTATGATTAACATTTTGTTTAACATGGTTTTCCAACATAAAGACTAAAACAGTCTGTTGTGCACCAAAGTCAGGTGGCTAGCAGGCATATCAGAAAGCTAAACAAGGTTAGCGTCTTTGTTGCCGACATTAGTTCTAACGCAAACTGTCTCCTTCTTTATTCACACATTGGCTTTGCACTGGAGGTTTCAGATTTATTATGGACTTACCCACAAGTTGACACGATGAGTTACTTAGGCATGTGACGTATGAAACCCTGGTTGTCGGAATCCAAGGTGGAAGTACTCATCATGACACTGACTGCTTATTTCTCTTCAGAAATGTTTTTATTTCAACTTAAAAATGCAATATAAACATTAAAACGTGTTTTTTTTAAGTTGCTTGTTTTTGCAGTGCATGACTCCAGTTAATTAGGTATGAATTTTATCACCAACAATGTGGGAAAAATTCTTTCGCTGGAATTAACAACATAACTTGTAAAACTTTACAAGTCAGGGCTGACATGAAGAACATATGGTAACACAAGAAAGCAGAACAAAAGAAGAATAAATTACTGAGGCATTTTTTAATGGTCCCCCCTCTCCCTGCACTTGTTGCCCGAGGGGGTCCAATACCCATAGAGAGCAAATGATTTACAGTACACTCCTCTATCCTCCCTCTGTGAAAACAGGACAATTTGCAGAGTATTCTGTGGCTGTGCGATGCAGTGGCAGGAAAGGATCAGACACATGTTTTTAAAGTATCATCACCACATAACCTGTCATGGATATATGAGCACTTTAAAATTCTCTTTTGTTCATCTTCTTTCTGTGACACTTGACCTCTGATCCCCCTTCTCATCCTCATACTACTTTATATGCCATGGAGAATCAGTAGACTACCTTTTACATTCCAGCGTGTCTGCTTCTGGCTTATTGTGACCTTAAGTGAAAGAGGACGGTTGGTCTCTTGCCAGACTATAGCTGCAGTTATAGGTGCCTCAAGTGTTTGATCATTCTGTCATTCTCCAGATAAGAATTCAAGTTGAAAATAAAATTCAATCGGTCGGAAAAAAATCCTGTTTTTAATTACTTATCACATATTTTCACTGTTTCACTCCCTAGAAGTTTAAAGGAAGTGCCACAACTTCTAATGAAAGACAAATTTAAGACGATGCAAACCCCTCTTTTTTCTTATCACTTTTCCTCTCCGCCCTTCATGGGAATCCCAATTGGACCTGTGTGACACTATCACATCTTAAACATGGTCAAAAATGCTTTCAGTGTTGTTTATCCATTGTCTCTGTGTCTCCAGCTCCTCTTTGAAACATACCAGGTCCCTCTTTTTCAGAGCAGGTCTTTTCCTAGAAGTGGAACTTAACATCTATAGTTGTGTCTGCAGGGCTTTCTAGCACACCTTTTGTTACTCTCTGAAAACACAAGTCTCCCCTGCCCCCCGCCCGGCCCGCCCGCCCTGTGCTACACTCCTTCAGGGGATTCAAGGGATTCAATAGGACATTCCTTTACTGTTTGTAAGTCTCCAGGATATCAATATAAGTCAATGTAATGTCCTCTTAAGTCATGGAGACATAAATGTGTGTGTGTGTGTGTGTGTGTGCACACCTGTGTGTGTGCGTGTGCGCCCGTGTGCGTGCGTGTGCACGCGTCTGCGTGCGTGTCCAGGTATAGCTGATGTAGTGGGGAACTGAATCTTTCCTCTTTTATGATTAGGTCAAGGTGAAGTTTGCTCCTGCTCAGCCTGGAAGGTTTGCATCTGAGACTTGTCTGCTTTCTCAAGCTCAGTGTATGAAGCTCTTACTTTCTCCAGTTCATCTCGGAGAGCCTCATTTATGCTCCTCTCAGACTGTAGCTCCAAATCAAACCTGTGCTGGTTGATTCTAAGAGCCTCCTGCAGCTCCTTGTAATATCTGTTGATGTCTGTCTCCTGGTTCTACTTGGTGGTCTCAGTGGCGATCTCTGTGGTGCTGAGGGTTTTGCTATCCTCAGGCCAATTCTTAGGCTGCCATATTTCTTCATCCCAAACACCCTCCTCCACACGATCCTCAGCCTGCTGGGTTTCTATATTGCAGTCACCCTCCTCTAGCCAATTCTCAGGCTGCCATATTTCTTTGTCCCCATCGCTGCTTCAATATTTCTGATGTCCCTGTTTTGTAAGACCCTGACATCTAACACACCAGCAACCCCAGGGTATGGGTAAAAGCTGCATTTGTTACACTAATAGGTTTACTTTTGTGCTTGGATGTTTTTCTCGACTCCCAAGTTGCCTTGCACAGGATAATCAAGGATGTTGACGGGAATCATAACTTTTTGTTCACATTACCATTGTCATGTACAGTGTGTGTTACAAGTTGAATGCCAGTACTGGGTGACTGTGTTTAAGCCTCTTTTCATCTACATCTTTTTCCGCTGGGTCTTTGGTTTCCTTTAAGAGACATGGAGTAGGAGGGTAAAGCATTCTGCAGCTTTTGTGGTAGTGATTGGGAGCGCAACTTAGAGTTGTGAGATAACTGAGGTATTTCGTTTGACTCAGGGTTAATTTTGATTCAGACAGTTTGGTTGTCACTCTAGTCGATGACTGACTGGCAGCTGGAGCTACTTCACAGTGTTTTTTTTGGCTTCCCTGATGCTTTTGACTAAGGTTGGCATTCTTAAGCTAATCAGTTCCAGCGTGATCATGGTTGAAGAATGACATTCTGTTTGATTGGAAAAAAGACATACATACACACACAAATAAAGCAAAACAGTGTGGTCCTGTGCTTAACGTTAAGCAGAATACACAATTATTGATTTTGTTTGAAGTTACGCTGCTAACTAAAGAACAGGAGTGAAAAGGATTAAATTCAACCACATTAAAGCTCAGAGACCTTTCCAAAAGAGTCCAAAGCAACTCAATTCAAATTAACGATCCAGCTGGCCACTTGTGTTTGACTGACACATTGCCAAGGCACTACAGAGGGGGCTGATGGACAAGTGGCATTTATGAGGCAATTACATGAAAGCTCATTCAGTGCAGCTCAGAGCAAAGCTCAGTGACCAGTAGTGAATGAAACCACAGAGACTGACTGGCATTGTGAGGTAGCTTGTGTTTGTAGCTCCACATATTTCCAGCATATTTATCAGCTCCTTCTTTATGTCTCCTCTTTATTCTGAACTTGCTTTGTGCATGAATTCCATTTGCAATTCCGCAAAGCGAAGCTTAAGAGTATCAGGATTCACATTGTTGGGGACAAATGTCATGCTCCAGCCCCTCTACCCCCTCCACCACATTGCGGCATCTACACAAGGCGTACAGAGCTGTGGAGCAGCCTTGGAATCAATGATTTTTGATTCACTGATGAATATGCAAGAAGTCTTCTTATCGGTTAGCCGCTGCCCAATCCCCCTTTTCTTAGCTCCTGTTTCCCTCCATTACTGGTTTTCACGATGTGCAGTCGGGGAGAGAGGCCAGCCACACCCCTCCGCTGAGTGGCACTCAATGAGGAGAAGAAAAGGGGAGGAAAAATCCTGCCTGGTACTTCCCCTAATGAGCAAATCAATGCATCTGTCCCTCAAGAGATGGGAGCGGGAGAAAGAGAGAGAAGCTATTGGGAGCCCGAGGACCAGGCCAAAACACTTACACAGAAGCAGTTACCACATGCTATGAATAGGAGCCTTTTTTAACTTAGCACAACAATATATCAGCCCAGAGCCTCTCATTGAGCAGAGCAGTAATTAATTCAGCAGTTTGACCTACCCACTAGCCTCTCGTTACCCTTACTTGAGCCACGCTAATGGTTGAACCTGCCTCATGGCTTAGGCTTGTTTTACCCATAACCCATAGCAACGGCATCTGAATGTATTTCTCCGCAAGCCAAGACCCCAAAACACGTAAAACTACTATCACACTGCCAATAGAAGTACTATCCACCTTGGTATTCTCATGGTTATACAGCCACAGGGTCCATACCTTGTGAAAAAATAGGCCCCCCTCGTATAAAAGAAACAACATCATGGTAGAGTGCACCTGATGGAGTGGAGGGTGGGATCTGTTGTGGGTGGGTGTGGGGGGGGCAGGGTTTAGGGGCACATTCATAAACACAGGCCTCATCTATAGGCACCCAGCCACCCCTCCTCAACTCAACTGAGGGAATGAAGGCAGATGAACTGGGGGGTGACCAACATTTGTTTTCATGCATACGCTTACACAATTAAATGAGAACGGCCATTGGCAGGTTGGTACTGGTTGTGCAGACAGTGGCAGAGGTGGGTGGGACCTCCAAACTGGCTTTGTCCCAATCTGAGAATTTGTAGCAGTTCATGCCTTCATAATGAAGTTTAATGAAGCAAGCAAATGCTTGGTTGGCCATGGCCAAAACACAGCACCCCCGATGTTCCCTTGACAGATTTGCTGTGAGCAGGAGCCATTTCTGGAACATTAAAGTGTCAAATAGAGAACAATGTGAGCAGCAATTTATGATTCACTCTCAGTTTACAAGCAGTTTTCATATTGTTTCTGCAGAAGGTGTCAGAAAATTCAATATTATATATAATAATATGCCACTAGAAATTAGATCTGTTGCTCTACTTGCATGTTCAAATAACTCATTCAGAATGCCTGGCAGCTGCCCTGATCTCAGAGGTATTATTTTGTTCAGATAAGTATGACGAAACAAGATATGGTGATAAGCCTCATCTCCACCCAGCATATGGCTTACATTACTTCTGTCTCCCTTTTCTGACAAGATATATCAAAGTATCCATATTTCAGAGTCCCACAGGCCCGACTGCCCTCATGACTAACCTTGTCCGTCACCCACATGTCTGCAGGTAGACCATGAAGGGAAACGGTGGGCTTGATATATGTTTGAAGGTAATCCCGTGATAAATCAAGGGGACAATTTGCATCACGGAGGTGGCATCTGGAGGTCTTGGCTTTCCCACTGTCGCTCATATTTTATAATTTGGTCTGTTTTGGCCCCTCAGTCTTTTCCTGAGTTTGAAAACGGCAAAGTTAAACGAATGGCATGTTGATTACAGGTCAGCACTTCAAACAAATGTTCATCAGTTTCAGGATAATAAAGTTGTCGGTTTTTCCGTTGAAACTAAATATTTATTTTTTCCCATTTTACAAAAACAACCAATTATTTTTTGCAAAATGCGGTAATATTCAGGATATGTTAGCAGGGGCTGTTCTCTCTCTAAAAGATCTTACACTCTTTTTCTATGGTGTCTGTTGTCAGTGAAAAAGGTGACAGTGAAGAATGTAGTGTCTCTGGAAAAATGCATTGTTGGTATGTAGACAGAGTGAGCCTGTCTCAAATCAGATAATGGTAACCACTCACCCCTACTATCACTCATAGAAAGCATACATAATAATACAAATGTATATGATACAAGTGCAAAAAGGTCATTTTGAAATACTACAGAGATTTGGTAGTTTTCTCAGTGTGGTATTGGCTCAATATATATATAGATGGTGCACTGGAAATTTGTGATACATTTTTCTTGGCCTGGTTTTTGCTGTTCTTACTTTTACTCATGTATTTTGTCTCCCTCAGATCTGGTTCGCGTTTGTCAATGGCTTCTCAGGTCAGATTCTTTTTGAGCGCTGGTGCATCGGCCTGTACAACGTGGTGAGTTGTTAATAAAATGTATTCTCTAAAGAGCCCCCATTACCTCTGTCGCACAGCACTGATTTGCCAAGGTACCCCAGAACTGATCCCTTCATTGTGTGAATATGTCATCAACATCCTGAAAAATTACTCCTTTATTTATGACCTGTTGTCAAGTCCTTATTCCCTCTGTGCTCCAAACTATGCACTGAATGTGAAAGAACAACAGCTTTGCTTGCCCCAAAGAGTTTAGTTAGCGAGGGCAGCTACGTTTGAACAATAAAAAGAACAAGAAGACTGGAGCCGCAACTGAGCTGGCTGCTGGTACTGGGAGTCCCACAGGGCTCTATTATAGGACCACTCCTAATTAACTCATATTTCATGTCTGTCATGAATTCAATAGAAGAGAAAAATGTACATCTGCAAATCTAATCTTTAATACCATACTGTGAAGCCCAGGATGTGTACTTTTTAAACTGTTTATTAAGATCAACTCTATTCAATAAACAAAATAGAATGAGAGAAGTGCGAAGTGAAGTTTTTCCACTTTCTCAAATGGAAATAATTAATGGGAGGGACAAACTGTTAAGTGAGAAGGACATTTCCACAGCCCTGCCTTCAGCATTCATTTAATAATAAACCATCACCTTAAAGAACCAGTACTGCATTGCAGTGGTGGGAAGAGGGTTCAATCTTTCACCTTATCGAAAAAGTGGGCAAATTCCTCCGGCTCAGTGGGACTTTGTTGAAGGCAGTCGGCTGAATCCGCCCCTGAATAGAGGTCCTCCTTGGCCTGGCTGTGAATGAGGAAGGAGCCCAGTCGAGCATGTCCTGTGGCCCACTGGTCCTGTCGACCGAGGCCTGCAGACTCCCACTCCAGATGGGCCTGAAGGGAACTCACACCAACTGACCCGCTGAGCCGCTAAGCCACACAATACCATCACTGCTCTCTGAGCAGCTGCTACACAAAACAACATTACAACATCACTTAGAAATTACACTTCAGCCAGGCTTAAATACCTGCTTCTTAGTCAAGAGACCCGCAGATGTTCACTGGAGATGGGTTTTGCATATGAACGGACTTGAAGCATGACAAATCAAAATAAGTAACGCTGAAAGGTTTCGGGTCAATGGTCTTCAGTGATTCAAAATAGATTGAAGCAATTAGAGTACAGAATGAAACATACTCATCCAAATGTTAGCATATGGAGATAAGATCGTTGCAGTGATGGTATATGAGATACATATACAAACAAGACATAGATTACTATTTACACCGTGCATATACAGTACTTTTACTTGACTTTTACGTGATGTCATTTAAATATTTAAATTGATATCCAGCAGGTTATTTTTGTTTGTGAGCTATGCTGCCCATATACACTGCACAGCTGTAGTAATTAACGGCCCTAGTTATAGATAGTACTTTTTACTTTTTACTCAGTAACATCTCTACAAGAATTGGTAATTTGTGCTGGTTTCATTGATTGGAAATTTAGGTCTGTTTTTCAAAATCTAAAATCATCTGAATGTATGTCTCTGATATTTCTCTGTGTGTGTTTTATGTAGATCTTCACTGCCCTGCCTCCTCTCACACTGGGCATATTTGAGCGCTCCTGCAGGAAAGAGAACATGCTGAAATACCCAGAACTTTACAAAACCTCCCAGAATGCCATGGGTTTTAATACCAAGGTAACACTTGTTCCTATCACATGTTCTGCACATGCATATTTACAGTGTAATTTGCACATGGTTTAAATATTATTAGATGACTGTTCTCACCTTTGTCTTTTGTGTAATATATTTTCCAGTGTCTGTCTTGTTCTTTACTGCCACAGTAATATAATTTCTTGATTGTGGATTCTGTAGTTTCTCCAAATCTAGAGCAATATTACAAGCAAACTGCCCTTGGGTCGCAGGGAACTAGTACTCAGTTAGTATTTGGTAGTTTTCCAAACCAGTATTTGTAGCCATGGCCTAATTTACTGTGTACACACTGTATCTCGTTTCATCACCTCTGGAAGAGGATTTTGTGATCAACCTCTAGATGGGGAGTATTATTACCATCCATTTTGGTAATTTCATACAGCTCAACTAGCATCAGGTGTCAACAAACACTCACATTTGGTAATTTTCCATCGTGTCATCTAAAATTGAAAAATAAGTTTGGGCTCCATCTCACACACAAAAAGGTCAAATGTTCCACCTATTACAACCAATTAACATCACATTAATGAGACGAGATGTTCCTGTCGTGTTGTTGCAAGCGTCTGACGCTCCTCTCGTCTCAGTGACCTTGCAGCTGTTGTCAGTAGGTCTCCAGTTCCAGCCTGGTTTGACCTATTCTGTCTGGTTGCGGGGATTGTTTGTTAGCTTTCCCCTGCTGGTAATAAAGACGTCTCCTCCTTTCCCCATGTGGAGCCATAGACTCCTGGACCCTCCTCATAGGCGTGGTGACCTGGTTAGTACCGCATGGAGATGGATTAAAGGCGGATTGGCCATGGCGGTCAGGGGCAGGCAAGGTCAGATAGGTTTGGGGGGATGTAGCAGAAAGAACCAGGGAAAGGAGGGAATATAGAAATCGTGCTGTCATTGTGTGATGGTATTTGTTGCGGGAAATTATGCAATTTGTTTAAGTGGGAGAGTTTATATGTTCTCAGAGCAAGACTGACAGATCCAATTAACCCATACATATGTGTTTATAAGACAACAGTAGATTTCCTCTAGTTTTACTGAGTCTGGAGTTACTTCTGTTCAAAGTAACAGAACGTTAAAGATTTGTTTGGGAAAACACCAGCCCTATTTAAGTTGTATTTTTAAAATTCATTATAACAAACTTTATTTGTCACATTTTCTGACATTGTTCCCTGGAGCTTTGATTATTTGATCAATAGATAATTGATAGCAAATATTTGCAGCTTTAAAGATTTACATTTTATTTATTTTGGTTTTTGATTGTTGGCTTAAAAATAAACAAGTAATTTCAACTCAACACCCTGATCTGTTAGATATTATAATTTAGCCCAAAAAATTATATTAAATAGAGTTTTATACACAAAACAAATAAAGCACCTGTTCTATTTTGGGGAAATTGGAATGTAGCAAGTTACTACCAGAGCTAACAATGACAAAAACTATTAGAGCTATTTGGATTGTAAAGTCACATTTGATTGACAAGTGAATGTTGGTAAACCCATGAAAAAGCTGAGGAAAAAAATTATCAGATCAAAAGCAGACTTGCTGCACACAAATTATTAATTATTGTCTGTGGATTAAAGTCATCTTTAACAGTTTTGATAGTATCAGGCCATGTCCTTATTCCGTTAGTTACACTGTAGATTACAGCTATTTATCCTCACAACTTCTTATTTAATCATCCAACACTTTGGCAGAATTTAGTTTTACAGTGGATTTTCCCTTCATTAACCTTTTGTCGTGGCTTCATTAACATCCTCATGCCAAGAAAGGATCACAAAAGTATGTGTTTGATAGTTAGGAGAAAATGAACCTCAATTTTGTTTGGGCCACATTTTCCAAGACCCATAACTGATGACTCGGCCAGGTCAGCAGGTTGTTTTTGCTGGCTTGTCCACTCTTTTCCCGAGATATTTTCCTTGCAGCTGGCCTGAGGCAAGGCGAGAAAATCCAGCAGGAATTTGGCCCCTCGAAGCCTGTCTTTCTGCACGCCTGGCTCTTTTGTACACAACAGATACTGTCTTTGTGAATTAAAGCTGTTTGTGTTGAGGTGAGAGAAGGGAGTGACCGAGGGTGTTAGAAACTCGAGGCGTGGCTTCGACAGTCGCTTTTCACTTTTAATGATAAATTCCTGACACTTAAGTTGCTGTGCTGAACCAAGCTCCCCTTTACGTGCTCGCAGTAATTACAGCTGTTTACCAGCAATCACCTCCTAAACTCTTTTTTTCTTTATCCTTCGTTCCCTTCTTACCTCGCCACTTCCCGTTTATTCAAAAAGACAGGGGAGGGGCCGTGTGGGGCTGGAAATATTTGGCTGGATATTAATTACTGGCCTTCATGCAGTCTTTTTTTTTTTTTGGCAATTAGGAGTTCCACAAAGGGCTGAATCTTTACAGGACAGGCCGAGCATTCATTCAGATGGGATCCTTTGCAACTTGCCGGGATACAAGGGGAAGAAAGAGAGCAGGGCATCTGCAGGGGTGAAAGGGAGGATCCCACTGTGACAAATGATTATGAACATTTATTGATTTCATTAGCATTCATTATAGCGGAGGGATCCTGGGGCTTATTTGCTTCCCCGGGGATGTCTGGGACGTGATGGTCAAGGAGGAGGCTGATAAAGAGCTGAGCCTGTCAGTGGGAGGTTAATTGGCATAAATGTGTGATTGTTACATTAGTGATAATTTAGTTCACATTTGAGTTAGAGGAGTGGGGTTTGCTTTGGGCCACCCCTCGACTCCGTGTATTGGGTTTTGTGTACACAGTGGGGGGGTGAGGTAATCCCGTTTGGGGGGTGGCTGCTGCAGGACTTTGTTTGGTCTATAGGAAAGGTGAGGAGGTCACGCCACTGAGGCCAGGGTATATTATAAAGGCTCACAGTCTGAAACAAGACTTTTTCTTTCACTGTACTCTGTTTTATACTTCTTTCCCTTCTTTTTTACATCCTTTCCTGGCAGAAGACCTGAAATAACCCGACATAAAGAAGCACTAGTCGTTAATCCTGAGAAGTTTTTCCTTTTCAGGGTGTCCAGGTTGTCACAAATAAGTCATGTTTAATGTTTTACTGACAGGTTTACTGAAGTTGTTGAAAAGAGGTGTTTTTAAGTATAAAGCCTCTAACTTCTCATCTGCCAAGATTCAATGATTAAAAAGAAGCTAAAGGATTTAAAAAGTAGTGAGTTTCTTTCTGTTTTTATTTTTCCTCCGTCAGCCGAGTACTCTCCAAGTTTGACAAGTTTTCGTCTCTCGGAATTAACACCAACGTCTGGGTCAGCAGAGAGGAGGAAGAGGGAGCACAAATGTGCAGTGGTTTTTGGCAGAAAGGATTTCACGGCTCTTTCATGCTACATCGCCCATTAGTGTTTTGTTTGGCTCCGCTGTTGCATAATGTAAATTTGAAACAAGGTGGTTTTGGAGTGGGAGTATTGATTTAAACAACTCATCCAAAGTCTGCATGCTTCACACAGACACACGCAGACTGTGTTCCGCGCCACCTTTTTCCAGGCCCTTAATAATTTCCATAAAAACAGTTTAATCTCTGTCAGAGCTGTCAGTCTCCCTGTGTGTGTTTCTAGACTGATTTCTGCTTGTTTAAATTCTCCTGTCATTTATTTCTACACCGGTTAAAATTCTCACTTGAAAGGGCTGATGCCTAATGAAATGTAATGAGAGGAAACCCTCACACTGACAGCACATATATTAAAGCTGTATAATGTTCTTATTGTCAAGGTGAGGAGGTGCATTTTGCCGGTTGTTGTACTTGCTCTACTTTTTTTGATTTGATTCTGCTAAATACGAAATAACCTAGAAGTTGCATGCCGACATTGTCCGCTTCCCTTTCACTGCTCGTACACACACTCAGCAGCTTCTCTCTCCCACATAACACACACAGAGGATATACAGCGTGTCTGTCAGCGGGGTGGCCATTCAGCGAGGAGGCCCCGACAAAACCGCCACTTAGCCTAGCACTGGGATGGCACAAAGGGCCCGGGTCAGGGGTCACTTGGAAGGCTGGAGCTCCCCACACCCTTTTCTAATGCTTTTTTCTCTCTTTCTCTGTCTCTCTCCCTCCTTCTCTACTCTTGGAATCTCCTGCCGCCACCCACCCCCTTCTCTCTCCTCCTCCTCCTCCTCCTCCTCCTGCCTCCTTCCCCTCCTTTTTTGCAGGTCTTCTGGGCCCATTGTCTGAACGGCCTCTTCCACTCCGTCATTCTCTTCTGGTTCCCCCTTAAAGCCTTCGAGCATGGTAAGTAGCTCCCAGAGACTCTCGGCTCTCGGCGGACTCACTGGAGGAAGAGGGAGGACAGTCAAACACACATACTTTGTCTTAATTAGTTCTCTCTTCAGCCATCCAGTCATGAATTGCAAACATGTGTGTGCTCCAGCGAGAGCGTCACACACTAACAAGCGTATATATATATATATATATATTTATATATATATATATATATATATATATATATATATGTGTGTGTTTGCACCAGTACACATGTGCACACTGTGACCTGCTTAAATGCATTTTAATGCAGTTGATCCATTTTGCATAAACACACCAATCAGTTTCAGACTTTCCAGGAGATTGTCGAGTTTAGAGGACCTTTATCTGTAAAGACAAATATCTGTCTTATGTATGTGCTATCAAATTCAAATAAAATTCACAGACGCTGTGTATCCGTATAAGGTCAGTTGTTTGTGCACATTAAGATGCAGGGTTTCTGTGGGCGCAAGCAGAGAGAATAGGGATCTTTGAGCTGGTGAGTCTTGGCTGGACAGAGCAGAGGACCACACAAGCTTGGGCCTGCTCTCCAAACAAAGGCACCAAGCCCCATCACGCTGACTGACAGGCTGTCAGCAAAGCCTCAGTGCACACAAGACATGTGACCAGCCGGAAGTAAATGGAAGAGAGCCTCTCTTTCTTTCTTCAATGGCAGTTGTATTTTTGCCTGAATCTATTTTGATATTTCTTTTTTTGTTTATTTACGATGTTTTTCTAACCTACATTGCAGGAAAAGTGTTTTCAAGAGGTTTGATTACTATTTAATGGAGAAATAAATCATCATTTTATCAGAAAAACAGCTCTGTTCTGTTACAGTGGTGAATTAGGCAAAACATTGGATTTCTGACTGTGATGAATTCACAGCAGTTGCTGTTTCTCAGTCTTACCAGATGTATTTTCATACAGACACACTTAATAGCTCCTGAAGACAGAATTAACATTCCAGCCTCCCTCAAAGGGAAGTAAATGGAAGCAGCGTTTAAATGTGGCTTTCACTTTACGTTCCCATGTCCGCTTTAATACCCAACTCTTAAATAGGGACTTTCACACCCAATTCCCACTGCGATGTACTTAAAGTAATATCCTATGTGCTGTCTGTTTGTTTACTTTTTGGATCACCTAATGGAACTCTGTGTGAAACCTTAGAGCTGCAAAGAGACAGCTTTGGCCTTAAAAGCTCCTGTTGTTGATTCCCTTCACAGATACAGTTTTTGGCACCGGAAGAACTCCCGACTATCTCCTCTTAGGCAACATGGTTTACACAGTAAGTGCTGCGATCTTTTTGGCAGGCATCGTTTTTGCTGTGTTTAACAGTTCAGGTGTCTCAGCCAAGTGTTATCCAATTTCTCAGAATAAACATCAGTTGTACTTGTCTTTCTTGCATCTTCTGTTTTTCTGCTGAGCTTTTCCTATTTTATACCGTATGTAAAATAAAAATCGGATCATAATGAAATTTCATGTGTTGTGCACTTCCCATGACCGATTTTTAGTGCTGAAGGAGGACGGACTTGGTTTAATGTCAGCATGATTTGTGTCTCCACAGTTTGTGGTGATCACAGTTTGTCTTAAAGCCGGCCTTGAGACCTCGTCCTGGACCATGGTAAGTTGATGGCTCTCTCCTTGATCCTAAAGTTCTGTTATCTGTTTCCAGTTCCTCCATTTTATTTGACCACTGATACTTATAGACACATTTTACATTCTTTTCTTATCTCCAAATCTCTTTATGGTTTGTTCCCTCTAGTCTCTTAACTGTAAACCTAGTGAAATGACATGCAGAGTATTTCAAGTTACAAGCAGCCAAACATTGATAAACCCAAATAATGAAAATGATAATGAAAAAGGCAGCAAACATTTTTAGAAAATGCTGTGTAAATACAACTTTAGTTGCTAAATTGTTATAAAGTGAAAATCTACAGTAAATAAAAGCTAAAACACTTTATTTTACCTTATTGTTTTCTGATTCTTTGCCAACAGTTCAGTCACATCGCCATCTGGGGAAGCATCGGCCTGTGGGTGGTGTTTTTCATTATCTACTCGTCCCTGTGGCCCCTCATTCCTCTGGCTCCCGACATGTCAGGCGAGGTAAACACCTGCGTGCTAACATGTACTCAAAAACATGGGCTATGTTCACTGGGGTACTCAGGGGCAATTGTCCTAGATCACTCAAATAATAGTTAGCCACCTCCTGCACGTGAAGGCAGATGCAGCATTACAAAATGCAGAATGCTGCTTGCAAAGACAACAAGGTCAGATGTGCTTGTAATTTATTATCCACGTTGCCTTCCCCATTGATAGCCAAAGCCTTGCTGTTTAGTTCCTTCCTTCCCAATCCGGAAACGAATGAGGGTGTCTGACATCTCCAAGTTTTAGTCTGAATGGGCAGAAACGAGACTTGGAAACAATGACACGAACTAAAATGGGGCTATAAGTTTCTTCAGGCTCAGAGTAGTGATGACACCATGTATAAAACGAAGCAAATGTAATGCATTTAAAACCAAACTGTATTAGAATGGATGTAACCATACTACACACACACACACACACACACACACAC